CTCCAGATTGGCTGCTTTACCTCGAAAGCCCAAAGACAGCAGCTTGGTAGGAGGGAGTTCTAACTGGCTGGGGCTCCTGCCAAGCCCCATCTGCTCTAGGGCTCCTGAGCTCAGATCTGTCCTGGCCTGTCCTTACTGTTGTGATCTTGGGGAAGTGCTGGGTTGGGCAGCAGGTGAGTGAGTGGAGGGCCTGTATCCCCAAGGGTGTTGGGGGTACAAGTGTGTGACTCATTGTGCTCCAGTGAGTGGAAGGCTGAGGGTGGCTGGAGCAGGGGATGGATTCCTGGCTCAGGGGAGATTTCAGCCCTGCAGGGGCTCAGATGAGTCACACTGCCAATAGTCACAGATGCCTTTTAGGCAGGATGGGAGCTCAGAAGTTTTCATGGCCCTTGGCTCTAGCTGCCTCCTGGACTGACCTGGGTGTCACACACATGTGGCTGTTGAGCTGGGAATGCTTCCACATGGTACTTCTAACAGCCACGACAGGAGGACTGTCCCTTGTGCTGTGTGCTTAAATCTACAGTTTCCAGGGCTAGAAGCTGGAATTCTAATTCTGGCTTGCTGAGCCCACTTTGGCAAGTCTTTTTCCCTCTCTGTGCCTCCTGTGGCCTCATCTGGAAAACAAAATCCCTATGTCTTAAGAGTGCAATGAGGGTTAAATGAGAGAACAGCTATGAAGGGCCTGGCACCCATAATGTTGGGTTCTATGTCACATTTTAGGTGATCCATATCAGCTTCTCTGGGATGGGCTTGGGCAAGAAGTGAGGCAGCTTCCTCATGTCCTGTCCCTCATGAAACTCTAGACTGGGAGTCAGCTGGACGCCAGTCAACCCAGATTGGACAGAGCCACCTTCTCCTCCACTCAGGAAGAGGGGGGTTTAGTCTCTCAGTCTTCCTCTGTGGCTCCCAGCAGGCCTGGGGATGTCTGCTGGAGTAGGGAAGCCAAAAAGGGACTTTCCTCATCTTATTGGGACACAGTCTGGCTTTCTGGTAAGATAGAGAAATAGCACATTGCTCCCAAAATAATTGTCCTGGAGCTATTTCGAGCAGCCCTTAGTGCCCAAGCCAGAAATGGCTGGTGATCTTGATGCCTGGGTACCATCAGGACAAACAGCCTAGAGGCCCAACCCTTTAGCTGGCTGCCTGCCTGCCCACCCAGCCCCCAGCCCAGAGCTGAACCAAGCCCTGGCTTAGGCCCCAAAAGGGAGCCATGGACACCTCCTTCCTTGTTCACTGAGTTTCACTTCTGGTCATCCTCCTTCTAGGGTGAACTCCTCCATCCCTCCACTCCACTCCCTACTCAGACACTATGCTCCCCATCTCTCAGCAATTTCACATGGGGGTGTCCCCTGCAGGGATTCTGTGGTGTGGTGCTTCTTTATCCTGGATCTGGTCTTTAGGAAGCATAGGCTAAACCCAGATCAGAGGACATTGTCTAAAACAAATGGTCTGCACTCTTCAACACTGTCAATGTCAGAGAAGATGAAGAAAGGCCAAGAAACTTAATGACTGAAGGAAAATAAAGAGACGGGGGACCAAATGCAGTGTCAGATCCTAAACTGGAAAAGTGGTTGTCATAAAGAACATTAGTGGCTCATGCCTATAATCCTAACTATTCAGCAGGCAGAGATCAGGAGAATCAAGGTTCAAAACCAGCCCTGGGGAAATAGTTTGTGAGACCCTATCTTAAATGGTAAGAGTGCCTACCTAGCAAGTGTGAGGCCTTAAGTTCAAACTCCAGTGCCTCCAAAAAAAGAATGTTAGACAGGCAGTCAGTGACACTTGAATATGAAGTGTCCATTGGATGATAGCTCTGTATCAAGATTAAAGATCCTGGATGAAGCAAAATAGTAATAATTACTGGTTTTAGAGGAAGAGTATTATGGGAGTTCATTATCTCCTCAGGTTTCAGTGAGTTTGAGAATTTATTAAGAAAAAAATATACACACAGCCATGAAGAAGAACGAAATGTTATCATTCGCTGGTAAATGGATGGAATTGGAGAACATCATTCTGAGTGAGGTTAGCCTGGCCCAAAAGACCAAAAATCGTATGTTCTCCCTCATATGTGGACATTAGATCAAGGGCAAACACAACAAGGGGATTGGACTATGAGCACATGATAAAAGCGAGAGCACACAAGGGAGGGGTGAGGATATATAAGACACCTAAAAAACTAGATAGCATTTGTTGCCCTTAACGCAGAGAAACTAAAGCAGATACCTTAAAGCAACTGAGGCCAATAGGAAAAGGGGAACAGGTACTAGAGAAAAGGTGAGATCAAGAAGAATTAACCTAGAAGATAACACCCACGCACAGGAAATCAATGTGAGTCAATGCCCTGTATAGCTATCCTTATCTCAACCAGCAAAAACCCTTGTTCCTTCCTATTATTGCTTATACTCTCTCTTCAACAAAATTAGAGATAAGGGCAAAATAGTTTCTGCTGGGTATTGAGTGGGGGGAGAGGGAGGGGGCGGAGTGGGTGGTAAGGGAGGGGGTGGGGGCAGGGGGAGAAATGAACCAAGCCTTGTATGCACATATGAATAATAAAAGAAAAAGGAAAAATAAATAAATAAATAAAAAAGACACAGCCCTAAAAAAAAAAGAAAAAGAAAAAAATATACACACACGTACACACACACACACACACACACACACACACACACACACATATATTTATCTGCAGTGCTGGCAGTGGAGCCCAGGGCCTCACACATGCTTGGCAAGTACTCTACCACTGAGCTACACCTTTTTTTTGTATGCTGGAGATCAAACCCAGGGTCCTGCACGTGCAAAGCACACCTTGTATCACTGAGCTACATGGCTAACCCAAAGCTGTGGTTTCAGTGTTTGAGGAAGAATGGAATAGACAGACGCTTTTCTGGCAAATACCCTAAGACCTTGAAGGGATAATTTTGTTAATTCATTCAACACACATGTACTGGATGCCCTAGGGACTAGGCCCCAGAGAGGGCATGGGGTTCCAAAAGGAACTCAGAATTGCTCCCCAAAAAGTCCTCTAGTCAGAGCTCAGTGCTTAGTAGGGTTCGACTGGGACTGTTAGCTGCACTGGGACAAGTGGGAAGAGAGGAAAGAGGTTTCTCTCAACTTCCTAGAACAGGGCCCCCAGAAGGGCACCATTGGAGGAAGACTTAAATAATGACAAATGTTTGCTTAGCCAGATGTGGTAGCACCCACCTGTAATCCCAGCACTCAGGAGGCTGAGGCAGGAGGATGGTAAAATCAAGCCAGCCTGGACTACATAGTGAGTTTGAGGCTAGCCTGGGTTGTACAAAGAGACCCTGTCTCAAAAGATAAAAAATATTTTAAAAACCAGAAAAGTAAAAAAAGTTTGCCAACGTGGTGAGAAAAGAGGAGAAATCGACGTGGAGTACAGCAAGCAGGAGTCGGGTTTGAGTCAGCATACATCTTCCTGGCCCTCGGCACTATTAAACACAAGAAAAGCAACAAGGACCACTGGGAAATGGCCACCCCAGCCTTGGTTCAAAAATAGGGCCCATCTGTCCTGGCAGGCTTACTATGGCTCTGGCCCTGAGGCAGGGGCCTGGCTGGGATGACCCCAGAGGCCCCTCCCCCCTCCCCCCTCCCCCCACCCCGCTAGGGTTCCGTGATTCTATGACATGGCCAGCAGTCTGGAGTGGCAGCATGAGGGTGTTCTCAGTGGAGAGCCACAGAGGTCAATGTCATCTACCTCCTAAAGAGACAGAGTGAGAGGGAAGCGGGCCCTCACGGCAGAGTAGGGGCCCAGCCAGCCAGAAAGGGAAGGGTGCACCCATGGGGTCAGCCCTTAGTCACCTCCTATTTTTCTAGAGGAGATGGGGTGGGGTTGGGCCAGGAAAGGAAGAAGCCAGGATTTAGACATTCCACCCATTTCAGACCCAAAGGACAAGGGCAGCTGAGGGGCCACGGGCGGGGAGAGGGGGAGGCAGCTGTTTTCTGGGTGGGCTGGGCTCAAATACTGCTCTTTCGCCACCAGACCTGTGTAGAAAGTCAGCACAAACTGGCAGTAGTTGTGTGTGTGTGTGTGTGTGTGTGTGTGTGTGTGTGGTGGGGAAGTCAGAGCCTCTCTTCTGGCTGGGGTAGGGTTAGTACTGGGGAGCCTAGCCTTTCTGTTTGTAATTTTGTTTCTGAGATAGGTTCTTACTAACTTTGCCCTCATTGGCCTCCCTCTCTGAAGGAGCTAGAATTACAAGAGTGCACCACCACACCCAACTTCATTTGAGGTTCTTAAAGTCATGATCAGCTTAATTACAGGGTTAGCCAGTGCCCTTCTCCACTGGGTTTCTCCCCACCAGGGTGCCAATTCAAGAAGACAGGGTAGGTATGGTGAGAATTTAACTTAGCGGACTGTGGGGAGGCAACTTAGCATTGTTTGTCAGGGGTCATCAGACACCCCCAAGACACTACCCTGGCCTTTACTACATATAAGCTGTGTGGTCATAAGCCAGTCATGACATCTCTCTGAGCCTCAGTTTCCCTCATCTGTCAATTGGAAACGGAATACCACCTCCCTCTTGAAGTAGGAATTAAATGAGTTGATCTATGGAAGACACATGGAAAAGGCTTGGGCACATGAGAGAGTGCGTATGGTGTTGTGTGGAGGCTAAGGACAGTTTCCGTTTTAGGTGTATTTCAAGAGTTTCAGAACTGTGGGCTAGAGAAAGAGAAGATGCCACCCCACCCACTTTTTCTATAGGGCCCTCTAGTCTGGGTTGTTCTGAGGGTTTTGCCTTCTTCCATATTTCTTACCCTTCCCTTGTGGTTTTTGAAGAGAGAGGATATCTATTTTCCAGTTCAAGAGTCCCTGGGGAAAGGGAGCAGGGTAGAGCTGGACCTCTAGAAGCAGAGGAATCCCTAGAGGGAGGTGATAAGGAGTTCAGGTGAGCTGACCCAACTTTCTCCTTGCCAGGCCCAGGTAACCAACCAACAGAGGCTATCACAGCTCCACCACAAGCCTGATCCGCCCAGCTGGGATGATGTCCGGACCCCAAGTGAACCAGTCCAACACTTGCAGTCGCTTAAGTCATCCCAACCACACATCCCTTGCACCCCAAACTACAGGCTGGACCCAATGCTCTGGTCTGAACAACTTCAAGGGCCTGCGTACCCGCATCCCAAGTAGCTCAGAGTTCAGCACCTGCAGCAACCACTCTGAGCCATCCTTCAACCCCAGCTCCCCCAGACTGCCCAGAGGGAAAATCTGCATGGGCCGGCCCTACAACTCCAAGTGCGTGGAGACAAGTCACCTGGTGAGAGATCCAAGGTGGTCAGAAAGTCCACTTGTCATCGTAGCAACCCTCACTGCCTGCTCTGTACAGATGGTCCCCGGGGGCCCTCCAGCCCCACCTTCCTGGACCAACTCATCAAAGGCATCAGTTACCTAGACCGATCCACCAATGCCTTCTCCAACCCCAAAACGCTGAACCTGCCCAGGCTTGCAGTTAACTACCTGGAACGAGCCGCCAATTCCCTCTACCTTGACCACCTGGAACACTCCCCGACCCACAGCTACTACAGCCCCAGTGCCAGCATGGCCCCACCTGACCACCCCTCGACCAGCACCTGCATGGTGCCATCCACCAGGGATGCCAGTGCTCTGCAGTGCCTGGCCGGCTCCACCAGCATGAACCGTCAGCCCCAGCCCCCCAGCCTCAATCCCATGCTGCCACTGAGGTCGGGTATAAAGCTGCCCGAGCTCCCTCTGTTTGGCAATGGGTTCTTTTCCTTAGGTCGCCTACCCAAGTTCTGGGAAGCAATCCGCTCAGGCTGGAGTGGTGAACCTGAACCCATGTCTAAACCCCCTACCTGGTGGTGATATTAACACCAGTGGTGCAACAGGGCACATGTCTGTCAGGCCGCAGTGTGTAAAATAAATCATCTGTGGCAAAATGCTCCTTCCAAGGCTTTGCTGGGGAAAATGGGAACTTCCAAACCAAGAGCCTCCAGGAAAGGCAGGTAAGAACTAAGTGAATTAGGCTGAGTGGTAGCAGGCAACAATGGAGATTGGCTGAAGGGACAGGGACTGCCTGATCTAAACATGGTTCTCAAATGAGCTGCTTCCTTCACAAGACAAGCCATGGGTCTAATATATAATAAATATATAATATATTATATATATATATATATTATATATATATATATATTATATATATATTTTTTTTAATGAGGTCTTGTTATATTGCCCAGGCTGGCCTTGAATTTCTAGGCTGTCTCAGCCTGGTAGCTGAGACTATAGGAATGTGCCACCATTCCTGGCTTTAGAATCTGATTTTTATATGTTAGCCACAGATTTAAAAATATCATGACACTCTGGCTGAACAAAAATACTTGTAGGCTGAGTGTGGTGTCCACAGGTCTCAGGAATCTCTGGTTTATATCTTGGGTGGATCACTAGGCAGGTTCTGAAGCTCTCTCATATGAAGAAATAGATGGACTATTCATTCCCATTTCCTGTCCATGTTCCCTCTTTTTAGGGTGTTGATTTTAGCACTGTCCCATGTGAGAAGAAATGTAGTAAGAGTGATAAAGACTCATATAGCTCTTATTACACAGCAGGAGCTCTTCCACTTTATACATATTTATTTTTGGCAGTACTGGGGTTTGAGCTTAAGGCATTGCTAGGAAGGAGCTGTACCACTTGAGCCATACCCCCAGCCCTTTTTGTTTTAATTATCTTTTTGAATTGGGTCTCAAGTTTATGCCTGGGCTGTGATTCTGCTATTTATATTTCCCGCCTATCTGGAATGACATCATGTCCAGCTTTTATTGGTTGAGATGGGGTGGCTGGCCTCTAATCATGATCCTCCCAATCTGTCTCTTGAGTATCTAGGATTACAAGCATGAGCCACTGCACCCAGCACCTTCTCCTCCTCCTCCTCCTCCTCCTTCTTCTTCTTCTCCTTCTTCTCCTCCTCCTCCTCCTTCTCCTTCTCCTTCTCCTCCTCCTCCTCCTCCTTTCTCCTCCTCCTCCTCCTTCTTCTTCTCCTTCTCCTCCTTCTCCTCCTCCTCCTCCTCCTTCTTCTTCTTCTCCTTCTCCTCCTCCTCCTCCTCCTCCTTTCTCCTCCTCCTCCTCCTCCTTCTTCTTCTTCTCCTTCTCCTCCTCCTCCTCCTCCTCCTCCTTTCTCCTCCTCCTCCTCCTTCTCCTCCTCCTCCTCCTCCTTTCTCCTCCTCCTCCTCCTTTCTCCTCCTCCTCCTCCTCCTTTCTCCTCCTCCTCCTCCTTTCTCCTTCTCCTCCTCCTCCTCCTTTCTCCTCCTCCTCCTCCTCCTCCTCCTTTCTCCTCCTCCTCCTTCTTCTTCTCCTCCTCCTCCTCCTTTCTCCTCCTCCTCCTCCACTTCCTCCTCCTCCTCCTCCTCTTCCTCCTCCTCCTCTTCCTCCTTCTCCTCCTCCTCCTCCTCCTCCTCTTCCTCCTCCTCCTCCTCCTACTTCTCTTCCTTCCTTCTTCTTCCTCCTCCTCCAGACAAGGTCTTGCTATGTCACCCAGGCTGACCTTGAGCTCAAAGTTCTTCTGCCTCAACCTCCTGAGTTCTGCCACCATACCTGGTTCAACTCTTTTAAAGACCTTCCTGATGGTGAGTGTGGTGAACAGGCAGTGGGGATGGCTGCAGGAAGGGGTTGGCCCTTGCTGGGAGCTCTCTAAAGAGAGGGGGTCTGTTTGGGCCATACGAGGCTGGAGAGGTCAGAATGAGAGGTGGCTCTCTTTTTCCACTACCTTGAGTTTCTTGCTATAAATGTCTGGGAAAATATTCCCTGGGCCACTGAGGACTCGGAAATGCAATGCACCCAGGTGCTAAGAAATCAGGTCTACAATGCACCCAGCTTCCTAGGCCTGCTGGCTAAGGGACTCTGGAGATCAGGATTCTAACCCAGCTCTCCACTGACCTGCCTTGAGGACATGGACACCCTACTTCTCCTTCCAGGCCTGTTTCCCATCTGTAACATGGTGGCAGCAGCTTTGATGACCTCTAAGTGTCCCCTGGACTCTGAGGTTTCTGAGTATCTGCTCCTAGTCACAGGCCAGGCCTGGAGCCTTCCAAGCTGAGTACTAAGTGTGCTGTACCCAAGAACTCTGACTCCTGCACCCTAAGTCATCTTCGCAGCTGCCCAGGGGTCATTGCAGGCCTTGAAGCCCCACTCTGTGTAGTTAGGAACTTGAGACTCAATTCCTATTGTGGAGTTCTCCCGTCTCTTTGGCAATGTGAAGGCCAATAGCAGCTCTGAGTGTGGAATGGGGCTGACCTTGAGATAATGCAGAACCTGGAGGCCCACAAGGTTCCTTGGTGCTTAGAGGCAACAGTGGCCTCCTGTGGCCTAGCTCCTATGGCCAAGCAGAGGTGACAGGCCTGAATATCCCTCATGGGATCACCAGGGCAGGAGGAAACCCCTGGGCCACTGAATCATCCCTGCTTCCACTCTAGCCCTGGAGGCCAAGGAAGACCCTTCATAGGCCCAGAGCTCAGAACACAGCACACACTATTCCTACCCTTTGCAACCCTTTCCTTCCAAGGAGAAGACTTTACTTAGCCTAATGGACCTTATCCCACTAGTTCCCACTACCCAGGTGAAGATTCACAGGAACATGTCTTGTTAGAATCCATTTTTGGCAGGGCATCGTGGCTCACATCTATAATCCTGGCTACTTGGCAGGCTGTGACTGGGAGGATCACAGTTTGAAGCCAGCCTGGGCAAATAGTTCTCAAGACCTCATCTTGAGAGCAAAGATGACTCAACTAGAGCAAAATGGACTGGAAGTGTGGCTCAAGTGGCAGAGTGCCTGTTTGTGAGTGCAAAGCCCTGGGTTCAAACTCCAATCCCACCAAACAACAACAACAACAACCCATTTTTGGTCAGGTGTAAGAGAGAGTTCAGGAGTGTCTTGATTTCCTGAACCCTCTAAGCAGCTGCTCAAAGCCACCTCCTTCCTGCTCTAGGTCTGCATTTGCATGGCTCTGGGGCCTAAGAACTGACTGTCCCTGGCTGTCCTGGAGATGCTCACTTCCAAAATGGTGCAATTCTCCTAAGAGTAAGACTCTTGCCTAGGACACTGCTTCTGACGTCATCTCAAGACCAATTCTGGCTCACAATAGGTGATCAATTTTTATATTAATGTTGGTCACCGGACCTCATGTCCAATAGGTGTGCAGTAATGGTAACCCTATTATCCTAAGGGTGATCACAGAGCTTCACACAATGAATGTCAACAACTAACGTTAACGATACCGGGCAACATTTAGTAAGCTTTTAACCATACACCCAGCATTGTTTTAAGTGTTTTGTATCAATTCATTCAATCTTTAAAGAAAGTACTGCAGTCAGGATTTTACAGTTGAGGATGCTGAGGTCAGAGAGGTGAGGTATAAGTGATGATGAGAGCACAGTGGCTCTTCAAAAAGCAGCTGGAATACTTACTGGTCAGTAGCAGAGCATGGCTTCCAAGCCAGGGCCCTCAAGTCTTCAACCAAAGCCCTTTCCATTCAAAGTGTAGTTTCTTTCTTAATGTTTATTGAGTGAATTCCAAGAGAAAGAGGTAAAACTGGACCTCCGAGTACTACAGGCAGAGTGGGGGGTCCATGATTATCTTCATGATTACAACGTCTTGAAAGCAGCAGGCGCTCAGAGTATGGTACATGTCATTATAGGACCCAGTACACAGTAGGTGCTCAGATGAGGTTTTCCCATTGGCTGGGGATTGGATTACACCATGTAGGGATAGGTACCACTACACCTGATTCTACATATTTATTCTTTTAAATAAATATGCTCCGGGGGATAGATACTCACGGCTCACAGATCCCTTCCAGAAGTCACTGAGCCCAAGTCCAGAGAAAATAAGCCTGTCAGAGAAGGTCCTCCACTCCATGTGGCCATGGTATGGCCTGTAAGTCCCCCAAGTCCACAGTTCAACTCCGCATCTACATGGTCCGTGTAAGCAGGAAGCAGCGGCTGGTTGTGAACAATGCAGCAGCCTCCTGTGATATCTCCCTTGTATACAAAAGTAACCTTGATCCCCATGGCTTGTGGAGGCCGTGGAAAGTCCTTCACAACTGCAGAAGTATGTCGTCGTTTATCAAGCACTCACACCGTGTCCCAAGCACATTGCCACAGCCTGAGGTGCACTCAAGCCCTCTCCACTCTACCAGGCTAAGTTTTAATAGTTTGTCTTTCAGAGGGGGAAACTGAGGCTTAGAGGAAGTGACTTTCCAAAACTCAGTAGCAGAGCTAGGATTCCAACCCAGGATTCTGACCCTCAACCAAAGGCCTTTTCATCTAAAATGCAGTTTCTTTCAAATGATTTCAAGAGAAAGGGTAAAATTTGGCCTCCAAAATATGCAGTAAATTAGAAAAAGCAAGGATTGTGTTTAACTTGGGATTTTGGGCTGCCCCTGAGTACCAGGGTTCTAAGCAGAATTTTCCTCAAAGGTCACCTATGGTCTCCATCATTCAGTCCAGTGGGGTCTCATCATTCAGTGTCCCTTGGTATAGGGACAAGATACTAATGTACTTTGTATTTTTTTTTTAAATGCATCATGGTCCTTTTCATCACAGATTCTAGGATTCTAGAAGATAAATTAAGCTTTTTGAATTATCAAGGTGCATGAACAAGAACATTGAGAGCCCCACCCCAGCCCACCCCAGCCTTCTCTCATCTCTGAGCCTAACCCTGTAAGCCTCAGCCCGCCCCACCCCTCACTCAGCCCCATTTTATCTTTTCCTGCCTTTTCTGTTCACACATCTCTGGGGCCACTTGTTCTACACAGGAAACATAAACCTAGGGGTGGGTGGCCCCCCACTCCACTCCTGCTTGCATCTACTGCCCT